TAAACACTGTTTGTTTATCCATTGATAAATGTTCTTTTATACGCGAGCCAATGGTCCTCCCGGTTTCTCCAATATACAAATTTCCGCAATGTGAACAATGAATTTTGTATACCACATTCTTCTTCAAGCATTGATTAGATTTCTTAGCACTTTTACAGGTCTCGCATTTGTTGGGACAATTCATTTGTCCTTTGGGAGCTGAAAACACTTGAGACAATGGTTTACCATTCACAAAACAAGCTTTTACGTTGTCAATCCCCGAGTGTCGTATAACAGATGTTGCTCGTCTTTTATAATCTTCATTTATGTATTTCGAAACATTAATTTGTTTATGTTTGACTAGTGATAGTGTATTGATTGGCGGTGAGAGTTACAAGCAAAAATCAGGCCTCGCTATGGGTAATAACCTAGCACCATCTTTGGCGATAATCTACATGAATGAACTTGACTCGTTAATTGTGAGTAAAGCCGAAGGCCAGGTTATCCTCAAAAGATATATGGATGATTATTTTGCATTTTTGTTATTTGCTTGTTTATCGGCGCAGAGTTTGCTAACGACGGCCAATAGCTTAAATGACAAAATCAAATTTACTCTTGAAACACCTTGTCATAACGAACTACCCTTCTTGGATACGCTCGTTTCGTTTGACCCCGAATCCAAAGCATTTTCCACCAAGCTTTACATTAAACCTATACACAGCCAATCAATTATGCCATGGGATAGTCACGGCTCTATTTCCTCCAAACGAGCAATTCTAATCGGTGAAACCAAAAGAGCCATAGCATGCTCGACAGATTCTCGGGGTGTTAAAGAATCTCTTAAGTAAAGTGAAGGAAATTTTCTTTGCTAATGGATATCCTAAAAAGTTTGTTGATAGCGTTATAAAGAATACCAAGAATAACAGACAACGCAAACAAACTGAAATCGACTCAGATAAGCTCATCTACGTAAAATTACCATACATAAATGAAGATTATAAAAGACGAGCAACATCTGTTATACGACACTCGGGGATTGACAACGTAAAAGCTTGTTTTGTGAATGGTAAACCATTGTCTCAAGTGTTTTCAGCTCCCAAAGGACAAATGAATTGTCCCAACAAATGCGAGACCTGTAAAAGTGCTAAGAAATCTAATCAATGCTTGAAGAAGAATGTGGTATACAAAATTCATTGTTCACATTGCGGAAATTTGTGTATTGGAGAAACCGGGAGGACCATTGGCTCGCGTATAAAAGAACATTTATCAATGGATAAACAAACAGTGTTTAAACATATAATGAGTCACAAGAGTAAAAAGGACAAACCAAATCAGGAAGACATTACTTGGAGAATCATTCACAAGAACATTAGATACAATGATGAACGTAAATGTATTGAGGCCATCGAAATTCAAAAACATTCAGAGGAGATAATGAATGGTTGTATTGGGAGAGTAATTAATGTATTAACGTTCGCATATAACAATAGGTAAATAAGCATGTATATAGAACCATATCTTTTATTGTTTTAGATTTGAATATTCATAGTCATAATTAATTTTAACATTTGTCTTTTAACATATTTTAACAGTGATTAGGTATATAAGGAACCTAATATTACTCGAACAATTAGTCCACTGAAGAAGCCTTAATCGGAGAAACGTTTGGACGGTTTTAATATTTTTAACTTTTTATTAAAATTTTAATGTCTGAAGAAGAATACAAACCACTCAGTGTGCGTTAATTTTCACCTATAAAAGCACTTTTGAAGGTTATATAGGGTGAGGATATTCAAATTTTCGAATAAGCCTTTGTTTCCTGGTACATCAAAGAGTTATTTTAACCCACAGTCGTTACTCTTGACATTACTATGGCAGCTACCCTGCGAGCAAAGTCCTCTCGTATTTCTTCTCGGCACGGAGAAGCGAGAAAGACTCTGCATAACTTGTGTATAAATTCATTTGAGCATGCGCGAAGGTTGCTAAGCACCTGCCTATTTCTCAGAAGAATATTTAATAAGTATTTTCCGGTTCGGTTGTAAGCCGGTTATGAAACCACTCAAACCAGTAACAAACCTGAAATTACGCATTATTTTCCAAGTTTTTGAGTTGTCGGCTCCATAAAGATTATACACAAGTTATGCAGAGTCTCTCTCGCTTCTCCGTGCCATGCCGAGAAGAAATACGAGAGGACTTTGCTCGCAGGGTACATGGCAGCATGACGTCATCATCTATCTAACCATACTAGCCCATATCAGCCAAAAAAGCCATCATAGCGGAAAAATAAGAACGGCGGCCAACCGCTACTGGGGAAAGTAGATCACAGTTCTTAGTTTTCCGCTATGGTGACTTTTTTTGCTGATATTACAAAAGTGTAAGGATAAATGGTGACGTCAAATTGCCATGGTAACGTCAAGAGTAACGATTTCATATTAAAATTACTCTTCGATATACCTGGAAACAAAGGCTTATGAAAAAATTGAGTTTTCTTAGCCTATAACCTTTTAAAGAGCTTTTAATTGAAAACTCTGATATATATTACAAAAGTGTAAGGAACCTCCTTAAATAAAGTAGATGTAAAACAATGGCCTAAAAATTTTGCGTTAGTGAAAGTAAAAGTATGGCTTGAGAATTTTAAAAGTTTTGAAACATTTTTTTATTAGCAAAACTACTACTGAAATCTCTTAAAATAAAATAAAAATAAATTCTCGAACCATTAACCAAATTGACGAACGATAATTGATGATAAATACAAAGCAAAAATATACATTCAGACAAATACTGTTCTTTATAATGAACCGAACTGAATTTTAATTAACCAACAATCACGCGATCTCTCCATTATCGACAGATCTGAAATCCGCGTTGACAATTTTTTACTTCCCCGATCAAAAAGGTAAATATTTACAAAAACTGGTGCTTCGCTACAAACAAAATGGATTTCTTGAAAAAACACTTCGTTATAAGTAATAACTTTTCTATAGCTTAAGTGTAAAGTAACGCAGTAAATTTACTTTGTTGCTGCACGTACGGCGAACACATACTGTTCTTAATAGAAAAGAGAAGTGAGACTATATATGATATATCAAGTAATGAATTTAGAAATTGAATAGTCATAACCTTGATATACAGTACAGTGTCAAAATATATAAATTAAAAGCTGGTAATGGAATTATTAATTATTCCATGCCTTGGAAAGTAGCATGGAAGAAAACTGAATTTGGAGGAGTAACCTTAAGAATGAATGTTAAATATTGCACGTTACAAATAGACATGAATACGTTTCCAACTGACAATTCTAAGAAATACACAACACAAAACTTCAATTTTATTTCACCATCAAATTTGCTGTATTTAAAAAATGAGTTGATAAAATGCTATCAATAAATCAGGGATATAAAATGAATTAATATTTATAGTACTTACTGCCAAAGGAGCCGCAAGCCACCAACAAGTTCTTGTATGCTGACATAACCATGTTGTTCAACGTCAAAAAGCTCGAATAGATGCTCAGCAAACCCCTATTTAAAAGAATAGGTACCTGCATTGTCTGCATTTAATAGAGAACTATAACTAAACGTATAATGTTAGACGTATATAGAAAATTCAAAAAGTATGAATAGTAATAAGTCTATAAAACTGGAAACCATTAACGCAAGACCCTCCCCGACAGTAATGGACTGACAGCAAGCATGCAGAGTTTCTCCTCAAGGCAAAGTTTGCAACATTTTCCTTCAGCTTTATACGCGCAGGGACACGTATAATTTCGGTAAAGTTGCATGATGGTAAATTCTTTAGGGATATTTCGCGGAAAGCTCCGTTTCAGTTGAATACCAAATGTTACTGAAAGATTTTTTGTGGTTTGCAAATCGTTTCTTAAAAGCACCTGGCGTATTACTCATTCGTTCCCCCAACGTCGCGTGCAGTAATTTCAGCCTTATAGACAACTGAAGGCGTTTTGCGGTCAAAGACTCTCTGCATGTTAAGCTAGTGCGCAGTCAACTGCAGTACGATAATTCGTCATTTGGTAATACGTCTTGCTTTCAAAAATGATTTCAACACCTTTTCAATAACTTTAATTGCTTTCAACAACTTTAAACGTTCAACATTGATTGTTTAATCCAAAAATTTCGATCCAGTAAGGCCGCAAAAAGTGGAAAAGTTCGTGTTTTTCCGGACGCCATTTCGTTAGCAAGCGTCATGGTGTGGGTATGACGTGTACATCTAGGGATAGTTGAGGACACGAAGTCCTATGAAGTTACACATGTGTTATATTCTCATTGACAGCCAAGTATTGCCTCGATGTCCTAACAATTTGATCACTTATAACCAGTATAATCTTAATTCTTAATCCAGTATTCCTGTAAATTTAATATGTTTTGTACTCTATGTATCAGTATTTGTAGCTTTGCTTGAATAAAGTTTGTTTGCTTGCACATATTTCAATGATCTAATAAAAACGATTCTGCGCAACATTTACGGCTTGCTGCAGTATTCATGTGTGCATAACTCGCGAGTTTTGGGTGCCTCACATGGCTTGCATTGTATGGAGGCCCATGCGAGTAATGAATTGACAGTTCGGCGTAGTATACTATAGTTATGGTTGCTACGTTCCATGGGCCGTTTTGTCTTTTTGCGTACCGTAAGATGGGATTTCAGTATAATATGCGAACTCCAGTTCTGATTTCCCAGGTTTAGATAATTTTTCAATAACAGAAAGCCTGACTCAATGACAAATTTACTATGCTTCATTACGCATGCAATCTTCAAATGGAGCTTATAACCAGGGCCACCTGGCGCGAAACTGTAATACCCCCCCCCCCTTCACAGGTTGCAGGAACAAATGAATGGAAACATTTTAATGGAGCGAACAAATGAATGGATACATATCAGGCAAAATGGAGGAGCCACACATTTAAAAAAAACCCACAAAAATATCAACAATAGTGTGTAAGAGTATCAATTGCTTGGAAAATACCGTATATATTATTTTGTTCGGTACAACATACCTCCAAATTGCTTGCTCCCATAACGAATTGAGTCTTTTTCAGTTTTCCATATTTTCCCAAAGGACCAAAACTGTTTCCAAACCAAACAGACCGACGAGATCTGCTTGGTAAACTCCCGTTTTTCCCATGAGTGTCATCTGGAATATCCAGTTCTGCGGGTGCCGGAATTTCAATTACCGACTGCTTTTTCGTCCTCAGCCCTTTGTCTCCATCCTCTTGGCCAGCATCTGCCATTTTCTGTTATTTGATTTAGTGTCACAACAGAGTATTACGATTCGCTTCTAAAAGAAAGTTGGGCAATTTTCATATAGAGCTGCATAGTTACGTCCCATAATCGATAATCCAGATGTCTTCATCCGAGGTAAATCTACAGAGCTCAAACCCACAATCCGAAGAATCATGATTAAGTACTGAGATTAAATTTGTTAATCGTTTTCATATTCAGATTTTCAATAATCTGAAAGTATGCCATTTCAAATGACTTGATAAACTAATACCACAAATCACTTATACCCTCAATATAAAATCCTATATATAAACACTCTAATGCATGGCGTGAAATTGCACTGACATAAATTTGAATGTGTTATGACTTGCGCAAGCTTGCGCCCTCTTGAATGAAAAATGCGTACTAAATTAAAGTGGCCATCTCGTCGCAACGAAATATAGGGCAGTAAAAATACCGTAAGAAATGCTCGTTGGAAGTACGGGAAAATCCTGCCTCGTCAGCAGCATTCAATCATGTCGATTCGCCAAAACAATTGCTTGCCGTACAGTATAATATTGCAATATTGCATGCACGCATTATAAAAATATATAAGTACATTAAATAAACACAACAAATATACATCAAACAAATACATCAAGTATTACGCTTACTGATCACTACTTAATATCTTTCCTACATATGTTTATCGTTAATTAACTATATGATTATCTTAGCATGCACCTCGCTACTTTTCCTGTGAGAGAAAACCGGAGCGCCGGAGAGGACTCACGTATTTCTAGATAGCGTCAACAGATTCCTGTCACATGAATCCATAGCGAGAATCGAACAATATTACAATATTATTACTTTCACAGGTGAAAGCTCTTGCTATGGTGAAGTCCATACTGCAGTGGGTAGAATGGACAAATGGGATGCTAAGTAATGTATACAGTATAATATAATGTATAGTTTCATAAAGGCCATGGACCAATCATTATTTTATAGAGAAATCCAAATGAAACACCTTTTATACCCCCCTTTTCTCTTCAGGATGAAAAATATTGTCGTTTCTAACTAATTCATCGAATTATCTAGACATAACATGAGACGTCGTGCAATGCATTTTTATTAGCCTATATTCGAGCATGGATGTGCGATCTCTAAATATAATCTCCCCCTGATATGTATATCAATTCAATTTGCAATCCATGTAGCTCTTAAATAAAACCCTTATGGTTTCTAGAAGGCTACTAGCCCACTTCTTTTAGATTTGTTAACGTATTTTTTTGGGCGAATAGAAATATATCACATGTCTGCCTGGCAGCAGCGTTCTACCATGCAAACTGAGCCACATATGACTTTAAGCATGAATTCGTCTTGAAGTGTGAATTTCATACATTTATTAATAGACCTAACTAGGAGCAGTTGAGAAAAATGCAACTACGGATATATAGCAGGACTTAAGCCGGTTTTCCACTTCGCCCGTATCGTACCGAAACGTACTGGTGAGCAGGCGCAAATTGAAAAGTGGTTCATAAATCCACGTACTTCCGCGTGTATTCGCGTATCAAAATAAAAAGTTCGTCACAAGTCAATTTTTTGGCGTACTACGGAAGTACTAACCAATCAGCATTCACGAAATTTTGAAATTTAAAAACATTTTTGATACGTTTCGGTACGGTACGCTTGAAGTGGAAAACCGGCTTTATCCACGAAGGTCGTAACGAGTACCAACGGCAACAAGGAAGGACTAAGCTGGGGGGGGGGACTGTAATTACTTACACTGAAGACCTTTTTCAGATTATTTGCTGTTACTTAAAATTCACCTGAGCTATGATTCCCAGATCACGATTGGCCGCAGTCATTCTCGGCATGTTACGATCATCAAGATGAAGATGATCATCAACTCAACCGATCCATCCCTACCCAATTTCTTTACACTGTGTTGACAGTGTTGTTGCGTATCATTGCTGCGATTTTAGATGCGATTTTCTTCTTCTGATGGATATAAGCTCGAAATACATGAATGCAACAACCCCTCGCCTTAGCCGCAAAACCACTATATTTTCCGTACAAGAAGTATTTGAAGATGTTGTCATGGTAACAAGATAATTTTATTCTTAAGGATAATTTTATTAAATTTTAAAACTCAGAAAAAAACAACCAAAAAATATTATTTTTAATCGAATTACTAGATCGATGCTCTACCAACTGAGGTACACGTTCAGGTCGGATTGAAGACTGGAAATTGTGAACTATATATCGAATATACATTCAGTGTGAAATTACAGACGAATGTGAAATAACTCGCGGTGTTTCGCAGGGATCAATAATAGGACCGGTCTTATTTAATATTATATACTGCACAAACCCTCGCCTTGCCGACCAAACCAGAGTATATTTTACGAACATGAAGTATTTAAAGTAGTTGTCATAACTTTGAATTTAATGTAAAATTCAACCACAAACGCTTCGCAAAACGTTTTGAAATGTTCTTAAAACTAAACTGCCTTCAGTTTAATATCGATAAACTTAAAATGATTTTAACTGATTCTCGCATGAAAATAACTTTGCTTTCCTCCCTATTTAAGCCATAATATAACAAAAAGGGTCTTTTTTCCTTACGCAACATCATTCAGTTTTTAAAGCAATTATTTTTTATTTTTATTCATTAAAAAGTAAACAAAACATCAATAATTAAAACAAACTTACCTTAGATTTTACGATTTCCCGCAATCTATTGCCCCCGATTTTGTTATGAAGCAATGTATAACAAATAAACTGTTTGCATGGCTGCTCTTCTCATGAACGATTTTTTCGGGAATCTGAATATCAGTTTTTCGCTTCCGCAGTTAAATTCACCTCTTTCCAGTCCTGAAATTCGTCATACTTTTGAGATCAGTAGGAAGTCCACCCATAACACCGTGAACAATATAGCCACGCGCCCGCGATTATTAATGAATCTCAAACTTCGCTAATGCTATCATTTTCCCTGGAGTAAATAGTCGAGCGGCCCGAGCGGAATTAGTACACTCGCTTGGGCCACTGCGCCCAGGCATTAATATACTCGCCCGGACTTGCCGTTGCCGTTGCCGTTGGCTCGGAGATTAATATTATATTTAATAGTGACTGTAATCATAATAGACTAATAGTTATATCTTATAAAACACATACTGCTTGTATTTTGAATTAATAACTTTGAGCATAATATCGGTGCAAGCATACAAAATGGACAACAAAATATATGTAAATATATGAAGATAATTTTATGAGATATGGCGGTCTGGCGGAACTACGAACGCGCGCTGATTCCTTTTTTGCTTGCCTTGACTCATACAGAAGATAAAGAAATTAGTCCAGTACTATACCATTCTACTATTGAGATCACGGAAACACACACTTACCACAAACAACAAACTTTATTGAACTGCGCCGTGATACCAGAATATCTTCCACTTTATTAGCTCAGAAGACAGTGACGAACCAGTTTTAAATGACCATGCAGACATATACATGTCAGAGACTTCAAATCTTTATTTGCTTGCGATTAAGATTTCCGCCATGAATATCGGATATCAAAATATGCAGTACATGCAGAAACGGGTGTCGCATCTTTCGTGCGTTCACGTCTGGGCATACTAAAGCCATATTGAGTATAATAGCCGGAGTCACGAAATCTTAAATTAAACATGGCTTGAATCACCGTATTTATTGTTGCGCTATGTTAAAATGGCAAGAGCGCGCGCCGCGGGGTAGATTATCCTGTCAACACTTGAGAGCGATCGTGATTTATTAACATTACGTGTGTCATCATTTTCGTTATTAAATGCGAAAATTTGTAAATAGTTCATATGGCGTTGAATGACAATGTTTCTCGGATTATCTCAAAGCTTGAATGTGTATTTAAAGCCACTGTCCCTCACCAATATATATCTGTGCAGTCAATAAGTGACGGAGATTCAGTCTTACTATATACATGTGCTTTAAAATTAAAGTTCTCAAATGGAGCAAATCAGCTAAGGTCAAGGATTAATTTAAAATGACTTTCGTCATGCGCGAGTAGGTAAAAAAGGTCAAATCCTTTAAAAGCCACTGAGATGAGAAAGGTGACCCCCTAGGGTTTTCAGTCCGAACTCGCCACACCACACCGGCTTGAGTTTCGTATAATCATTCTCTGAGATGTTAAAGGAGAATTAATTATCGCCTTTTAATAATTTCTCGTCCTGCAGTTTCAGATTCGTTTTCAGATTCAGATTCTGATTTGAATCTGACACGAGGTCAAGTGTCAGATACAAAATGTGGTATTGATCAGTCTTTCTTCACGGAATAAATTTAATCATAAAGACATCGATCTTCAGACTTTTTTGCGCATATGACCAAACTATTTTTTAATTTTTAACTTATATATAATGTGAAGTCTGCAGGAAAAATCGCAGAAACTACACGACCATTACTGCGCCATGTTTGTGTCTTAATTGTATCTGTCGGCAAAATTATTGCTCGCTGTGTATCGCACTGAATACGCATGTAGTTCTCTAATTTCTCAAAGACAATTCACAAGCATGCACACTACAGGCAGTATAAAAAAAAACTGAACAGATTTGAAATTGCTCTCAATTTCGCAAAACAGCTCTTGGTATCAAGTTTTTGTTATATATAGATTCCTTCAGTACCCTTAACCCATAACTGTAATGCTCAAACTCAAATTGTGCAAACCAGGACGTGTGTTTCTTTTCCAACAAACTAAAAGTGGCTTGCGCACGAAATTGAAAAGCTTTAATTGTATTTTGAGTTAATGGATGGAAACGCCTTGGGTTTTCAATTACTGTACAAAATTTCAGACAATTTGCTTTATAGTTTAAGTCCTTTAACTAATCATTTTTTCCAAAAAAATCAGCCTTTTACATCCTTATATTAATTAATTAATGCCTTCACCTAATTTACATATTGCTGCAATATGCAATTTAGCTCAAAGACGCGTAGGTCGCGGGTTCGAATCCCAGCCGCGGTCAAGTAGAATTTTCTACTTGCTCGGCTTGGTATACACTCGTAAATATAAAACATTTTCCGTGTTGGTGATAT